GTGGTCTTATAAAAATGTCCCAAAAATCAACTAATTTGACCATTAGATAAAGGTCATAATTCCATATTGATAGAACTTTAGTAGGTTTTTCTATATGAATGGGATTTTGAATAAATAAGCATATTCACCTGCGGAAAAAGTATATTTACCGCGCAAAACGTTGCATGCTTTTACATGTATAATAACGATACAATTTTTGACGTTTAGTTCGTTTTGGTAAATAACTGTTATTTAAACATATTTTCCTCTCTCGGAACATGGAATAAAACAATTACTGTCTTCTGTTTCGGTAAATATGTGGTTTAATTGACTTTTGAAAAACCTAGTGACATTCACTTAGGCCGTTGGCCTCAGTGAATATCAGTTTTTCAAAGTCAATGAAACCACATATTTACCTCATCAAAAGACAGTAATTGTATATATAAGATCATAACACAACGTAATATAATAATACAGTAATAAACCTTCATACCAAGTGTAACAAGCATTCTGTGAGAAATGCATGGCAATACATAGTCCCCTACCAGTTAAACATTCATTGCATAGGAACACAATCCTAACTTGATCTATAACTTGTCATGTTTAAACAAATATCAAGTCAATATCTTTAATGCATGACGAAAAAAAGTGTTGAAAACTGATTATTTAAGTGAATTTTGTCCAAGGACCATAACTCTGCACAAAATCATCAGACCGGGACAAAATTCGAACTTGATCTGTAACTTGTCATGATAAAATTATATACTAATTCTCAAATCAATATCTTCAAGCCTGACGAAAAAAGTGTGGAAAACTGATTATTTAAGTGAATTTTCTAAGTCCAAGGACCATAACTCTGCACACAATCATCAGACTGGACCAAAATTCAAACTGGAACTGTAACTTGTCATGATAAAACTATATACCAATTATCAAATCAATATCTTCAAGAATGACAAAAAAAGTGCGGAAAACTGATTATTTTAGTGAATTTTCTAAGTCAAAGGACCATTACATGCATTACTCTGCACAAAATCATCAGACCAGAACAAAATTCGAAATTGATCTGTAACTTGTCATTATAAACAATACACCAAATATCAAATCAATATCTTCAAGATTAGTATGAAAAAAAAAGTGTGGAAATTATAAAATAAACTGATTTGCCGGACTGACAGATGGACAGACAGACAGACAAACAGATGGAGTGAAACATTTAAATGACTTGGAATAAAAGTCATGTGACGTGACCAAATGTTATTTCGCCCTTAAAGTTCAACTGAAGAGATTGATGTCCAGAGTTGTCACGTATGGCAGATTTATTATCAGATAAGTTTATTTACAGGAAATATGTTTGATATTTTGCTTAAAAGATATACAAATTGTTACGGTATTTGATTTGGCTTTCATTAATTGAACACATCAAAAAATGGTCTTCAAATTTGTCTGTCAGTGTCAGTGATCCATGTCATTGTCAACATAAACATTATATTTATGATAAATTAATTGTTTTGAATTCCAGGTATAACTGATAAAATTGTACAAGATGAAAAGTTTGTCAATTTATAATTCCTATGTTAAAATAATCAATAATACATGTACATCAATCATTCTTTTGTTTGAAAGGTAAAAAGGGGGCGGGGTGTTACAATTATTTTGTCAAAACAAAAATGTGTTCATAATGTTATGTTTTTTATTGAAAATTTGAAAATAAGATAAAAACATTATTGATCCTAAAAATCTGTTTTATTTACAAAATATCAGGAGCTATTGATTCTTTGTGGAAAATTTTATGTTCTTGCAGGTAGAAACTGCTTTTTATTTTATGGATGAACATATCTGCCATGGTAGCTTTAAAGAGTTTCATGCAAATCTGTAATTCGGCATTTGTTGGTAGTCCTGATACAGAAAGGAAGAGAAGTATACAAGGCTCCGTAACAAGTAGACGATCTGTTTCAAGATAATTGAAGATTGATTTGACAAAAATGTTAAATGGTCATATTATGAACATTTAACACCTTCAGAACTGTTCTAGAACTTTCAAAAATATCTTTCAGAATTATTCCTGAACACATCTTTTAAAAACCACTATTTGTTCTAGAATTTTTTTAGAACAACTGTTCCAGAATTGTTCTGGAACACACCTTCAGGAATTTGTCTCATTTAACGTTCTAGAACTGTTCATGATATGTTCTAGAACATATTAAGGATGGTTCTGGAACAGTTCTAGGCACTTTGTTCCATTACTATTCTGGACATTTTCTAGAACAGTTCCAGACTGTTTCACAGGGGTTAAATTTTCGAGGTCCAAAGTGAGATCCAGTATTCTGTAATTGAGCATACCCTGAAAAGCCCCTTGTGATGCAGCTTCTCGAGGTAAGAAATCCTTTTTTTCACACAATAACTTCTGTTAAAATTTAGAACTTTGCACACATTTTAACTCCATAGTTTTTACACATTCTTTGATCCTTAAATATGCTCTTAAAATCAGCACAAATAGTTAAGCTCAGTCTAAGTGCTAAAAATTAAAACATGTCCAATATCACTGCCAACATTTTTTATTTACATACAATATTTGAGGCAATGGTTAGGGTTTTGGGTTAGCCTAACCCTTGAGGCAAATAAGGGATATTGACCCTACAGAGATCTGATTATGCACACAAATGTGCATGTGTATGCTAAGCCTTGATTCTGTATAGAAAAAAAAATAAAAGAACCTATTATGGTCCAATATCAAAAATCTACAGGTACATTGTTAGAATCAGCATATCAAAGAACCATAAGAATTCATTTTTTGATGAAATCACACAAAAGTTTGATTTTTGACCCTTTGGACCTCAATGTGGACCAATTTTATGAAGGAGCCCAGTCCAAAATTTCTGAATACATCTTGAGAATCAGCATTTCAAAAACCCCATAAATTCATTTTTTTATGATATCAAACAAAGTTTAATTTTGGACCCTGAATTGGACCAAATTGAAAACTCGGCAAAAAAATTCAAAATTTAAATACAGGTTTACATTCAACATTTGATAGAACCCTATATATATTCAACTTATGTTGAAATGAAACACAGTTTAATTTTGGACCAAGATTCGGACCAACTTGAAAACTTGGCCCGAAATCAAAAATAAATCTGTCACTCCAATCATAATTTTGTTAGTTGATAATTACCACTTGTTTGTTATCTTGATAAAAGGTGGAAATTATTGCATGAATAAATTAATAATAAATATATTGTCATAATCCAAATACATGTACAAATGTGTATATTTAGTTAATTGTAAAAATCTATTATACAAATTGTATGTAGTTTTATAGGAAGAATAAAAATAGATTATTATCTAATGAAAATGATATTGCAAATCTGACCCTCAAACAGGATCAATTAAAAATTAAACATTAGCATACACAACAAAAAGAAAATACCACATAACAGCTGTGGAATCTAACTTTAAAACAAACAACTTAGTAGTTAAAAAGAAATTTTCGACAACTCCTGACTAAAATCAATTTAACAGATACAATCATTGATAGACAAACTATCCATATACCCATGGGAGCGCTAACGAGGCCATTTTCCATAAATTTAATATTTCCAAGGGGCATAACTCTTTCAAAAATAATCGATCAGCAAACGATCATACAACTTGTCTGAGATAGTGGTGATATTAACCTATAGTACAAGTTTCATAAAAATCTTGCAAGAATTGTGCCCATGAGAGTGCCAACGAAGCCATTTTCCATAAATTCAATATTTCCAACATATCCAAGGGCATAACTCTTTAAAAAAAGTTTATCAGCCACCATTATAAAACTTGTCCAAATATTGCTGATATTAATCTATAGTATAAGTTTAAAACAATCTGGAAAGAGTTGTACCTGTGAGGGCGCTAACAAGACTGGAGGAACGCACGGATGGACGGACAGATGGACAGAAGAAGTGATGGACTGACACCTTACAATTTTTGTATAGACCAAATATAGTTGACCCATTGTTTATGATAATTAAAACAGACAACAACAAAAATTAACATTAACCAAAGAACCATGAAAATGTGGTCAAGGTCAGATAATATCAGACATATACACCTTACAATCATTCAATACACCAAATATAGGTGACCAGTATTGCTTATAGTACTTGAAAAACAATCCAAAACACAAAATCTTAACTTGATCAATGAACCATTAAAATGATGTCAAGGTCAGATGATATCTGCAAGACAGACGTGCACCCATTACAGGCATTTCATACACCAAATATAGTTGACCTATTGATAATAGTAATTGAAAAACAGACCAAAACACAAAACCTTTACATTGACCAATGAGCCGTGAAAATGAGGTCAAGGTCAGACTGACTTGTTCCCATTACAGTCATTCCATACACCTATAGATGATCTACTGCTTATAGTATTTATGAAACGGACCTAATAATGTAACTTTAACCTTGATCACTGATCCCTGAAATAAGGCCGAGGTCAGGTGAACCCTGTCTGACCCATATGTAGACGTTGCAAGGAACTAATATACCAAATATAGTTACCCTATTACTCATAATAAGTGAGAAATTTACATGACAAAAAAACTCTAAGCATTTGCTGAACCGGTACCATAAAAATGAGGTCAAGGAAATTGGACATATGATAGGCGGAAACCTCATAACATAAGGTACCTTCTGATATAAAGCTTTATACAAATAGTTTATGCCGCCACCGCCACCGAATAGTAATAATACCTATGTCTCCCATACTGCAACACAGGCAAGACAAAAACTGTAATTTTTTTTCAAGCAGACACACAACCATGAAAAATATATCTCCAGAAAAAGTTTTATAATAAAATCATATTACCTCCATTTCTGTAGGGAATGTTGATATTTGTTTCGATCAATATACGTGACGTACATGATGTAGGATTAAAACATTGCAAAATTTAAGAGAAATTGAAGAATTGGTAAATATTTTCCCTGTCAATTGATATTCTACTTTTATCTGTATCAATAAGTGTAATGTACCTTTGATGTTCCATGGTATTGGGTCTTTCAAAATTTCCATAACTTTTGAATGTTCCATATTCAAATTGTCTATTGTTAGTTTCAGTTCTTTCAACTCTTCCAGTGATTGTTTGATTTCCAACATAATTTCCTGATTAGACTGGTCTAAGATTTTCACCTTTAACCTTTGACACTCTTGATACATTGTTTCACCTCCCAATCGACCTACAGCCTAGAAATGAATAGTTCATTTTTTGATATTTTTTTTATTCTTCAAAACATCATTAATTTTCATGTCTATGTACAATAATCATTTTTAATTCATTTAAATGAGCCTTGCTTGTAAATCAAGATTGCTAGGCATTGCTGTAAAGATGAGGATTAAGTTGTGTGTACAGTATAAAGTTGTACAACAGGATCATAGATTACATTATAAAGTGTATTTTGGGCTGCTATTCAATAGGCCAAACATGGTGTCATTGTGGTAAATAAGTAAAAAATAAATTGGGAATGTGTCCATGGGACACAGATGATGCCCCCCTTTGCATATAATGTTAATGAATTGCGTCGTTGAGCGCAGCTGGATACGACCGCAGAGGTCCAACCCTGAACAGTTGGGGCAAAAATGGACACAATATTCGTGCTTCAGATACAGGTCTGAATTTGGATTGAAATTAAATGTTTGACACATAATAGGTTTCTGACACAGAATAACTGTAGTCAAAGAACTTAGAATTGGTTATATGATTTGAATTAATAAATCACTACGCTGTTGCGAATTCCCCCCCACAAAAAAAATTTACCCCCCCTTTTTTTTTGGCTTTTGTGCAATACACTATGCTGTTGCAAATTGACCCCCCCCCCAAAAAAAAACAAAACAAAATTTCACCCCCATTTTTTTTGCAAAAAAAAAAAAATAATATTTGAAGAAATTTTCTTTTTATTTCCTGAAATCTGTAATGAGAAGAAAAACAAATTGTTCCCCCCCCCAATTTCTTTTTTACCCCCCCCCCTAATTTTTTTTCACCTCCCCTCCCCTCCCCTTTTTCCAAAAAAAAAAATCTTTCCCTCAAGATATGGTCATTATCTCATTTCAAATTTCCAATGGTGTTTGCAACCATAATTACCCATTTAAATACATCATAAAAGTCTTAAAATAGAAAATGACATACATAATCATGTCTAAAAATAATATATCTTTAATCAGCATTTTTATTAGTAACTTCTAAAAATAAATTGACAGCTTATCACCTCAAGACAATACAAAATTTCTTTATACATAATTTTAAAGCAGTGTAAGGGAGGTAATCCAAATTTAACATTGTACCTAAAAGTGATTGTCCATTAACAAGGAAACCCTTGTTTTTCCCCCTTTTTTGCTCCGAATTCCTAAACGCTTTGAGCCATTACCCCCCAAAGCCAATCCTAACCATCCCTTTGTGGTATGGAAACTTGTTGCACAATTTCAGAGAGATCCATACACCGTTCCACAAGTTATTGTCTGGAAACTAGAAAAATGCTCATTTGGGCCCCTTTTTGGCCCCTAATTCCTAAACTGTTAGGACCACTACCCCTAAAATGAATCCCAACCTTTCTTTTGTGGTTATAAACCTTGTGTATAGATTTCTATTTACTAATACTAAAGTTATTGTCTGGAAACCAAGTGTCTACGGACGATGACGACGACGACGTGATACTATATACGACCACAAAAAATGTTTGCGGTCGTATAAAAAGGGACATAACTCAAGAACTGTAAAAGTGACGCTACCAAAATTTGTACTTGATCTGAGTTTTGTGGTAATAAGCATTGTGTATACGTTTCATAACATTTGGTTGAGGCAAACTAAAGTTAGAGAACGGAAACCAACAATTCAGCAATTTTTCCTTTTGTAAAGGGGCATAACTCTAGTACGGTGAAAGTGACGCCACCAAAATTCTAACTTGATATGTGTTTTGGGGTAATAAGCCTTGTGTATAAGTTTCATAACATTTGGTTGAGGCAAACTAAAGTTATAGAATGGAAACGAAAAATTCAGCAATTTTCAATGATTTTCCCATTTGTAAACGGGCATAACTCTAGAACGGTAAAAGTGACGCCACCAAAATTCAAACTTGATCTGTGTTTTGTGGTAATAGGCATGGTGTATAAGTTTCATAACATTTGGTTGAGGCAAACTAAAGTTAAGAGAACGGAAACCAATTTTGGGACGTACGGGACGTACGTACAGGCGGACAAGGGAAAAACTTAATGCCCCCGCCGTAATGTCAAATTCCAGAACTCCCAATAAAAAAATAGTTGCACCAACATGACGGTATAATATGGTCAACTACCCATGATAGCAAACACAATCCTATCAAGTTTGAGAGCTTGCTGTCAGAGCTTGGTGTCAAACAGTATCAGAGGAGTAGCGTTTAGTCGAGTCATTATCAATATCAACAAGGTGTCTCAGATTGTATAACAATGATTAAATGTCGGTACAATATGGTCAACAACACATAAAGGCCAACAATCCTACCAAATTTGAGAGCTTTCTGTCGAACCGTATCAGAGTCATTATCAATAGGCTACACAAGGTGTCATTGTATAACAATAGTCTAAAAATGGTCAAAGTCCCATAACTCCTATTAAAATCATCCAATCAACATGTCAGTATAATATGTGGTCAACTAAACTTAGCGGCTAACATTATCCTACCAAGTATGAAAGCTTTCTGTTAACTTGTCGCAGAGGCGTTGTGTTCACAATGAGTCAGTGTGTTACAGTAGTCAAAAAAAGGTCAAAATCGAGGTCCCATAACTCACATAAATCAAAGTGCTGGATAGCACCTGTGGAAAGATTGCAATGGTAGATGTGTATTATTTCAAATATGTATTTAATCACAGCTTTGCTGTTTTTTCTAAATCATTGTCTCATCAAAATTTTGATATTTTCTATTGCAACCTTAAACTGACAAGCATACAGAAATCTCTGTTAATTTCTTTATGTGCCCATCCCATGTCAAGAGCCTGTGATTTTAGTATTTTTTATTGATTCAGGTCCTTCATATTTGTTTTTAGTAAATTGTATTGTTATTAAATAAACCGTTAGTTTTCTTGTTTGAATTCTTCCACATTTTTCATACCAGGGCCTTTTATACTATATGGTATGAGTTTTTCTCATTGTTGACGACCGTATGGTGACCTATAATTGTTTATATATCTTCCTCCTTTGAACTATTTTGGATAGCTGGTACATTCGAAAAAAATACCACAACTCCAATTTAAAAGATCAAAGACAGCAAACTTAAATCAATACAATTGTAATGAAAGTGATTGTATATGAAAGGCTGTAACCAACAATGGCAATATGTAGACAGAAATAATAAAATGCTCCGCAGGGCGCAGCTTGATACGACCGCAGAGGTCGAACCCTGAACAGTTGGGGCAAGTATGGACACAACATTCAAGCTTGATACAGCTTTGCATTTGGATTGTGATTAAATATTTGACACAGCATAGGTTTCTGACACAGAATGAATGTGGTCTAAGAACTTAAAAATTTTAAATTGGACATTCACCTATTATGGTCCAATATCCAAAATCTAAATACATGGTTAGATTCAGCATATCAAAGAACCCCAAGAATTCAAATTTTGATGAAATCAAACAAAGTTTAATTTTGGACCCTTTTGACCTCAATGTGGACAAAGTTGATAACGGGGCCCAAAAATCAAAAATCTAAATACATGGTAAGTTTCAGCATATCAAAGAACCCCATATATTCAATTTTTGTTGAAATCAAACAAAGTTTAATTTTGGACCCTTTGGACCTCAATGTGGACCAATTTAAAAACGGGCCCAAAATCCAAAAACTAAATACACAGTTAGATTTAGCATATTAAAGAACCCCAAGAATTCAAGAATAAACCCCATTGAAATTGGTCAAGAAATAATTTATCTAAGCAATTTATACGAAGTATCTTCTTTTGCACAATACTGTGCAATTAAATATTTCTTGCTATTGCGCAATACTGTACTATTGACAATTTCTTGCTATTGCGCAATATTGTGCTATTGGATATTTCTTGCTATTGTGCAATACTGTGCAATTGAAGATTTCTTGCTATTGCGCAATACTGTGCAATTGAAGATTTCTTGCTATTGTGCAATACTGTGCAATTGAAAATTTCTTGCTATTGCACAATACTTATTATATAATAATTTACACATCCTGTTTGGTGTGTATCTCCTACCATATCATTATTATTTGCTTTTAAATATAAATCAGAAATAACCAACTTAAAATAGAAAATTTTATAAGAAAAAAAAAAGGAAAAAAAGAAAAAAAATTCGTAAGGGTTCCGCGGAACCCAGTGTCTCGCCTACTTTTTCTGTTAATCGCAGGCTCAACAAAAATGAGGAAGTAAATCAATAAAAATATTCCTCTTGATACTATCTTTTGATTGTAAGAAGCTTCTGTCCAAGTTTGGTAAAAATCCAGGATAGTTTATGAATCTAATAAATGTTTAAAAACTTTAACTGCAGACTGAATGTAATGTTAACTTGAAGAAAACTAAATTTCCTTCTAGATACTAGCATTTGATCATAAACAAGCTTCTGTCCAAGTTTGGTACAAATCCAAAATAGTATAAGAAAGTTATTAAAATTTTAAAAACTTTAACCACATAGTGAATATGTTGTTTCCTGGCAGAAAATCTAAGTCCATTTAAAAGTAAAATACGGAAAAAATGGAATTATTTTTTTACAAAATGTCCTTCTAGATATTAGCTTTTGATCATAAACAAGCTTCTGTCCAAGTTTGGTTCAAATCCAAAATAGTATAAGAAAGTTATTAAAATTTTAAAAACTTTAACCACAGAGTGAATGTGTTGTTTCCTGGCAGAAAATCTAAGTCCATTTAAAAGTAAAATAAGGAAAAAATGGATTTATTTTTTTTACAAAATTTACTTCTAGATACTATCTTATGATCATAAACAAGCTTCTGTCCAAGTTTGGTACAAACCAAGGATAGTTTAAGAAAGTTATTAAAATTTTAAAAACTTTAACCACAGAGTGAATGTAATATTTCTCGGCAGAAAAACTAAGTCCATTTATAAGAAAAATACGGAAAAAATGGAATTTTATTTTTACAAAATTTACTTCTGGATACTATCTTATGATCATAAACAAGCTTCAGTCCAAGTTTGGTAGAAATCCAGGATAGTTTAAGAAAGTTATTAAAATTTCAAA